AAAGAATCAAAATATTCTAATGTAATTGGCTAATACATTCTCATAATCTTCCTGACAGATCAGATGGGGTTTCTCTCTCTATCACACTTCTTTTCCATTGGAGTCTTGGTGGTATAGTGAGTGGTTAAATGCCAGTACTTAAGCCACAAGATTGTGAGTTCAATCCTAGAGAAGGGCTCCAAGGTCCATTCAGCCTTTCATCCTTTTCTAGGTTGATAAAATGAGTACCCAGTTTGTTGAGAGCAATTGGCTTACACACTGTAAACCTGCTTAGAGACTGCTTAATTCAGTATGAAGCAATATAGAAATGTAAATGCTATTGCTATGCTATTGCTATGGGATTTGTAGTCCTTGATGCTCATGAGATAGCTGGGAGCCAGGATGCCATTGTCTGGCTTTGACCAGCCTTCCCAAATGGAGCCCCTACTCCAGGTGTTCCTTTGCTTCAGATATCCATAGTCTGTTTAGGGAGAGGGAGAGACAAAAGCCTTGTGGTGCTTTCAGGCTTTTAAAAACCTCTCCTCAGAAACATCTCAAATTTTTGTCATCTGCCCAACTGTCCATCTCATTGGCAATTGCTATCTCATCACCTGTGATTCTGAGCATCATTAAAATGCAATTGTATCTTCTCCCACATTTAACCCTTTGTTATCTGGGGAGAAGGCTCTGATAATGAGAGAATTCTTCTTTATCACATAAGCATATTTTGCATAATCCCATTTCTTATTTATTTATTTATAACATTTGTATTCTGGCATTCTGACATAAATAGCAAAGGCAGCTAATTTTAATAAAACACAGTTTAAGACAACATCTTAATTAGAACTTGACATAAAGCAATTTAAAATGTAATAATATAAAAGCAGACTTGAATTCTGTTGGTAGTCCAACTGTAGTAGATTGTTTATGAATCAGTTATTAAATGGTGAGTCAACACATAACATACATCACATTGATTCAATTGATTTACTCTAGATGAAACTGTCAGTAAGATTCACATGCGCACGACAGCGGGGCGCCATTTTGGTGGTCGTGCGGGTCCCCCAGCAGGGCTTCCTCGACTGTGCCAGGCCTCAGAGAGGCCCAGCGCGGCCGCGGGGGTCCTCCGGGGCGCCCTTTTGTGTTCCAAAATGGCGCCCGGAGTCTTGCACAACCTTTCCCGTCGCGGGGCAGGATGGGAAAGGTCATGCGAGATTCCGGGCACCATTTTGGAACACGAAAGGGCGCCCGGGAGGACCCCCGCAGCCGCGAAAGGCGGTGGTGGCAGCAGGACTGGGAAGGGGCCGGTCGGCGGGCCGGGTGCGGCCCACGGGCCATAGGTTACCAACCCCTGTTTTAGCATAAAAAGACATAAGGAATCTAGTAATCACTTTGAGGCAAATTGGGAAAACGAAATCTGCTAGTGCACCAATTGTACCCATTCTTGAGACATCAGATCTGGCTGCGACGACACATGACTTTATTACATCCTGTTTGGATTACTGTAACACAATCTATGTGGGGCTGCTTTTGGAAACTGTTCTGAAACTTCAGCAGATCCGAAATGCTGCAACCAGAATGCTGACTGGGGCCCATTACGGAGAGCATATAACTCCCTTGTTAAAACAGCTGCACTGGCTACCAATTCATTTCGAGGCACAATTAAAGGTGCTGGTCATGATGTATAAAGCCATATATAGCTTATGTCCAGACTATGTGAAGGACCATAACTTCTCATATGAACATGGCAGCGTTCTAAGATCTTCAGGGGAAGGCTTCCTCTCAGTCCTGCCACCATCACAGGCTCACTTGGTGAGGACACGAGAGAGAGAGCCTTCTCGGTGGCTGCTCCCACCCTCTGGAAAACTCTTCCACAGGTGGCTAGACTGGCCCACTCTCCTTTTGCTGCAGGCAAAGACCTTTTCATTTTGTTTTAATATATAGTCATCCACAGGGAGGTTTCTTATTGGGGTGTGTATTTTATTTTTTAAAATTAATTTTTTAATAATTTTTAATGAATTATAATAATATAATAACATTTTATATTGTTTAAATGTACTTTTTAATGTTTTAACTGTTTTAATATGATTATTACAAATAATAGTTTGGGGTTTTTATTGATTCTTTTTGTGAGCTGCCTGGTGTCCCACTCTGAGACAAAGGCAGTATATAATTTAAATTAGTAAATCAGTCAATAAAACATTAAATCAGTAAATTTCATGGACTATACAGTCTACTTCATCAGATGATATGATGGTCATAAAAGCTTATGATAGAAATTTCTTCATCCCAGATAGTATCAACAGTGTTATTGGATTCCTTTATATCTAGTTTCTCTTGTCAGGGAGTTTCTTGTGGGAACTGGTTGAGGCAACACAAAGCATCCTGCCACTTGACTTAAAGTTTGGAAAAGTTAATTTTTGGACTACAACACCATGTTGGCTGTGGGATTCTAGGATTTATAGTCTTAAGAAAGTACTTTTTCAAAGCTAAGGTATTTGTTTAACAGTTGCAACAGTTATAATAAGATTTTGCATTTGTCCTTTCATTATGTTATTTACCCTCAGATACACTGAGGACCACAGAAACTTGGTTTTAAAAATAGTAAATGAAGGCTGATATTGTTATTATATTATTATGAGTTCCATGTTTGCCTTGTGCAGTCCTAGACTGTACTGATGGGGGGAAAAGGCACTCTCATTTTAATAGGAATATTCGGTGGTGTGTGAAATCTGGGAGCAGAGCTCTAAGTCAAATCCTGAATCTGCTCCTAGACAGTTCACTGAATCTGGTGGGAGAACAAGCACCAAAATTGTGAATTTCTTCTTCATTTATAATATAGAATTGTGCCAGGCCCCTAGGTAGTCTTTGTTGTTGTTTTTTTTCACTCTCAGTGTTGCTGTGTTTTTTTGCAGTTCTATCTGTCGGAGAGCGATGTGGGGAAAAATCGAGCAGTGGTCTCCCAGCGCCATCTCAAAAAGTTAAACAACTATGTCCCTGTGGAACCCTATACGGGAAGGCTATCTGAGAGCTTCTTATCTGCTTTCCAGGTAGAGACACAGAGCTACTTGTCTCCTGCCACAGAGGCTTGAGACAAGTCACTGTGCTAGCTATAGATGCAAGAGCTAAGCCAGGAATGGGAATGGTCACATGTGCTTTCCCCAGCCCAAGCCTGTTATCCTTGAAATGAAATCCACCAACCCCAGTTTTGATTCATTTGTTTATTCATTTTTAAACCCCTGGGTTGATGTTCAGGCAATTTGTTTCACAAATGCAGTGGTTTAACTCACTCCTCCAGGAGCTCCCAACCCCCCAGATGTAATGAAAAAATGTCAGAAACCAACCCAAAATGGAGAATATAACAACCACAAGTGACATTGCATCACTTGCAGGGCACTCAGGATATACAACTGTTGCCAAAGGGGTCTTGGAGGTGAAAATTGGCCCTTACCCCACAAGGAGGTGCCCACCACAGATTTAAGCTAAATCAATGGGTTAGTGTCTGTTCCTTTCCTAACAGCAATAAGCCAGCAGGCCAATGTCTCATTCTTCATAATGGTGGCAATTTACTAGCAAGTTATCTTCAAGTCCTCATCAGTGTTTTGCTCGACTTGAAACACTAGAAAATATTATCATTTCTGACAAATACTGCCCCTGTGGTGGACTCATGTGAATAACTATGCTGCACTGCATGATATACCCTTGTCTGACATTGAGCATGTACACAAGAAGTATCCTGAGCTTGGAAAAGTTACAGTTCCTAAAGTCTTTTAGCCAGCATGCTGACTGGGTGACTGAATGAGCTATATTTAGTAATAATAATAATAATAATAATAATAATAATAATAATAATAATTTATACCCCGCCCCTCTACAGAGCAATCAGGGTGGCTTACAGCATTAAAATTTACATGAATACAGTCCCCATCCCATCCCAAATGACCCCAAAACCCACCTACTCCTAAAAAAAGTATTAAACAATATCACAAGTTTAAAAACACACTTAAAATCAATACATTAGAAAGGTAACTTTTCTAAACCATGAATTTATTTAGAAAATGCCCTCACTGTTGTGCTGTTTTCTAATTTCCTTGTATGAGCAGGTAGCACCTATGCTGCTTGTTCCTGCTGTAATCTTGTAGTAAACATCAACATTTGCTGCAGGTTGTGGTCCTGACCAACTCGACCTTGGAGGAACAGCTGCATATCAGTGATTTCTGCCATGCCAACAACATTTGCTTGGTCCTAGCCAACACAAAGGGCCTGGCTGGGTATGTGCTTCTCTGAGGGGTGGTGTCTTGTTCTGAGAAGGGGATGTTACAATTGAGATTGTATGGCAGGGACTGTGGGCAGAAGGAGAGTGGTGGCTCATATTGACTTCCAGTGTGGTGATGAACAGGAGTGCTAAGGGGCAAAAAGACTCCCTGCAGTGGCATAGTGGTCAGTTCTGAACAGCTGGTGCTCACAGTGACTGTCCCCATAGCCACACATATTCCCAAGGAGCATCCAAAAATGTAGATCACCAAGTTGATCTCTATCAACAAACCATTCATTGCAGTATTTTTTTAAAAAAAATAATGTTATTAAATTTAATTATTACAGAAAGAAAACAAAAACTACTGGTATTACAAAAACATTAGAAAAGGGGGAGCAAGAAAAATACACAAACAAAAAAACTCAAAACAAACTTAACTAATAAGCCCCTCAGTTATTGCAGTTTTAATGTCACTGGGAGTAGCTTCTTAATGAAGTCTTAATCAGTGGCAGTTAATGGCTTCCATTTCAATGGGCAAAGAATCTGCTCTAGGTTTTTGTCTGAACTATAAAATGACTGCTCAGGCTGCCTTAGATATGTGTGTGTGTGTGTGCTGTGTGCCTTCAAGTTGTTTCTGACTTATAGCAACTCAAAGGTGAACCCTTCTTGGGGTTTTCTTAGCAAGATTTGTTCAGAGGAGGTTTACCATTGTCTTCCTCTGAGGCTAAGAGCATGTGACTTTCCCAGCATCACTGAATGGGTTTCATGGCTGAGCAAAGAATTGAACCTTGGTCTCCAGAGTTGTAGACCAACACTCAAACCACTATGCCACACTGCCTTAGATAGCTCCTTTACAGTTCAGACTAAAACCTGGGGTGGAGTCATCACCCCCACTGACATGGAAGCCACCAGTTGGCACTGCTGTTAATTTTCCATTCAAGGCCAAGAACCATTTTGCACAACACAGTTAAAATACTATGGCTGCAATCCTACTTCCCCTCAGCAATGCAAAAACCTGCACAATGGGAGATATGTCACATCAGCCCTACGCAGCCCCCCTGCAGAATGGCAGCATAGTTGAATGTATGTCATCACTGAGTCCAGCTGTGCAGTGTGCAACTTCAACACACAGCGCTCAACTACAATGTGCAATGTAACTCTGTTTCCACTGCTATTAGCAGAATACTTGCCATTTCACTGTGGCAAATACAGTCGCCCCTCCGTTTTCGCAGAATGGATCCCTCCACAAAAACGGAAACCCATGCATATTCAAGCCCAAAGGCTTGAATGGAGGCACGGGGGTGCATACCCCATTATATGCCCCTCCATTTGTCCCTCGCACATAAGTGAGGGATGCGGATCCAAAGTCCATGAAAATAGAGGGGCGACGGTAATTGACATCACATGGGTAGAGCATCTTATGCATGTGTATGTCACTAACAGGATGCAAGGCTCTGACGCCACTTGAACTGTCATGGCTGCATCCTAGGGAATCCTGGAGTTTGTAGTTTGGTCAGAGGTACCAGGAGAGCTTCCTGGCACAGCATTTGAAAAGTCCCTCTCTAAGCTGCCAGTCCCAGGATTCCATGGGATGTTGCCACGGCAGTTCAAGTGCTATAACTGTATAGTGTGAAAGGGCCCCAAGCCACCCAAAAATATTTTGAATATAATGTTTCTGGGAAAATCCATTCCCCATTATGCTACTGTAGAAATTGTAGCTAAACCCAGAGGGAATGCCTAAGGGGAATGGGTGTATGGGTTTGCCTGATGTCACTGCCTCTCCTGATCAAAATGTTGTGGCATTTCAACTGTTCAGGCCCTGGCTCCACTACAATGCTGGTTCTCCTGGCAGGTCTAGGGCACTTCTGGGGTTGGCTTCAGTGAACTGAGTATACGATATTGGAAAGCAGAAGTGTTAGAAGTATGGCCTGTTCTGTTTCTGTCTCCAGACAGCTTTTCTGTGACTTTGGAGAATGCTTTGTGGTACATGATCCTTCGGAGGCTGAACCTGTCTCTGCCACCATTGACCACATCACCCAGGTAGTTTTCTTCCCTTTATACAGTGGGTAATTCTGGATGAATAGTTCCTAACGATATCGGTCAAAAGGCATTATGAAGCAGTTCTACCTTTCCTCTTTTTTGTTTAGTAACCATAAAGTTGCGTGAAGTGGCTTCAAAACATGGAACGGCTACAGCTGGAAGAGGCTGATAGCAAGGTCATCTGTAAAATTCTGTAAATGAGGCAGAATGATTGCAAGATAAGACCCTCTTCTGAGGCTGTTTCACTTTATACACTTATAGTGCCATGATTCCTCTTTAACTGCCATGGTTTTGTCCTGTGGAATTATGAGATTTGAAGTTTAGGTTGGAATTCTCAGCCAGAAAGCTCTAATTTCTCCCCAGCCTATAAACCCTAGGATTCCATAAGATGTTGCCATTGAAGTTAAGATGGGATATAATTGTGTAGTGTGAAAGGGCTCCTAGAAGCAAGCAGTGTCTCCCCACCAGCATTCTGCCTTTGACATGTTACTGGTCTGTTAATATCCTCTTTTCTGTGGCCATCTTCTTAATATTCTACATCAGGAGTGTGCAAAGTATAGACTTGGGGCTACAAGTGTCCCCTAAAGCTATATTCTCGCATCTTCTCTTCCCACAGGGAAACCCGGGCATATTGACAGTAGCTTGGGATGATGAGCAAGGACAACATCCTCATTTTCAGGATGGTGACTGGGTGATCTTCTCAGAGGTTGAAGGGATGACAGAACTGAATGGATCCAAGCCCCGTCCCATTCGTGTGAGAGGTAACAGGCCTTCTATTTATTTGCCCTCATGTCTTCATTTGTCTTTCAGCTGCAGACAGAAAGTGGCCACAGTAAATGGTTATTATAGGGCTGGGGTGGGGAAAGTGTATCCTAAGGTCATTTTGAGCCCTCCTAGGATCTCCTCCCCAGATTTGTTGTTGTTGTTAAATGCCTTCGAGTTGACCATGACTCATAGCAACCCTGTGGATGAGACATCGCAGGATCCCTATTCTCCACTGCTCTGCTTAGATCCTGTAGGTTCAGCCCCATGACCTCCCTGATTGAGTCTACCCATCTAGTGTGGAATCTTCCTCTCTTTCTGCTGCCTTCTACTTTCCCTAGCATTATTGTCTTTTCTAAAGAATCATGCCTTCTCATGATGTGGCCAAAATACGACAACCTCAGTTTCATCATCTTGGCTTCCAGGGAGAGTTCAGGCTTGATTTATTTGAGGATCCATTTGGTTGTCTTTTTGGCCATCCATGGTATCCTCGGCACTCTTCTCCAGCACCACGTCTCAAATTGATTTTCTTCCTATCTTCTTTCTTCACTGTCTAGCTCTCACATCCGTACATGGTGATGGGGAATACAATGGTTTGGACGATTTTAAGTTTAGTAACCAGTTTCATGTCTTTACATTTCAGAATCTTATCTTTCATAACTATCCTTCCCATTCCTACTCTTCTTCTGATTTCTTGACTGCAATCTCTGTTCTGATCAATGATTGATCCAAGGTATGGGAAATCTTTAACTATTTCTCTTTCTTCATTATCTAGGTTGAATTTGTGTAAATCCTCTGTGGTTATTATTTTGGTTTCCTTTATGTTCAGCTGTAAGCTTGCCTTTGTACTTTCTTCTTTAACATTCCTTAATAATTTTTTCCAAGTCCACTATGTTTTCTGCTAACATCATTCACATATTGTTCATGTTCCTTCCTACTTTCTCTGCTCCTTCTTCTTAGTCTGCACCTGCTCTTCCTATGATATTTTCTGCATACAAGTTGAACAAATAGGGTGAAAAAATGCAGCCTTCCCTTCCCTCTTTGCCAATTAGGAACCATTCTGTTTCTCCATATTCTGTTTTTCTAACTGTCGCCTCTTGTCCTAAATATTGATTTCTCATCAGCACTATCAAATGTAGTGGCACTCCTATGTCTTTCAAAGGAATCCATAGCTTTTCATGATCTATGAAGTAAAAGGATTTGCTATAGTCTATAATGCACATTCTGATTTTCTTCTGGACTTACTTGCTACTCTGCATTAACTATTGTATATTTGCAATGTGGTACTTAGTGCTTCTTCTTTTCCTGAATGCTGCTTGCACCTCTGGGATTTCTCTCTCCAAATATGATTGAAGTCTGTGTTGCAGAATTTTGCACATAATTTTGTTTGCCTGGGAAATTGATGCTGTCTATGGTCCTATAGTTGCTGCAGCCTTTTGTGTCTCCTTTTTTGTGGATATTTGTCCCCAAATGCATGCAAGGACCCATGGGGCAGTTCTGCCAGGTTTTCAGGTTCCCAGGGGCCATTGGGAGACAATCATGTTTTTACATTCCTTTTTAAAGGAGTAGTGAGGGATGCCACCACCAAGGTCCCATTGGGAGGCCAATTTCCCTCCCTCTCTTGACAGTTGTAGTAGAAACATCAAGTCCATGGCTGGCAGGGATGTATGGAGAGGAGTTATGACTGTAGGATAGTGTGGTGCTTTGTTGATGGCAATAGCATATAGTATCTTTTGTGTCAATCACATGGTGAATCCTCTCTGAGTTTTGGTCCAGTCCTGAAAGTAACTATTTGATTCTTATCCCCGAAATAATTTCACCATCATCTGTTGTTGTTGTGTGGCTTTAAGTTGTTTCTGACTTATGGCGACCCTAAGATGACCCTATCATGGTTTTTTGGAGGGCTGAGAGTATGTGACTTGCCCAAGGTCACCCATCGGGTTTCCATACCTGAGCAGGGAAAACCAGTCTCCAGTCCAGTGCTCAAACCATTACACCACACTGACTTGTACACCACTTGTACCTCTCATTTAAAATTCACACTAAAAACCAGACAGGGGACACACAGGCTATACTGTGGCACTCACAACAGAAGAATTTTGTAAGACTTCAGAACAGGAGAGGAATTGCCTGGTAGATCAAGACACTTCCAAAGGAAATACACAAGTCTATATGGTGGAGGTTGCATTGATAGCCAGTGGGTTTGAGGGGTAGGTGGGTTGTTTAGCTCCAGTCTTATTGGCCTTTGCAGAGAACCAGAGAGTGTCCTAATCTTTGTGCATTGTGTCTAGGGGAATACAGCCTGGAAGTTGGAGACACGTCTTCCTTTTCTGCATACAAGTTTGGTGGGATCATCACCCAAGTTAAGATGCCTCAGAAGTACTCCTTTGTACGTACCCATCTCTGGCCTGTTGAGATTGCAGAGCATAGAAAAACAAGGCCCTTCTTTTCAAGTTGCTTTACTGGTCTGGAAGCCATGCCCTATGAGGAGAGGTATAGGGAGCTGGGTATGTTTAGCCTGAGGAAGAGAAGGTTAAGAGATGACGTGATAGCCATGTTTAAATATTTGAAGGGATGGCATATTGAGGATGGAGCAGGCTTGTTTTCTGCTGCTCCAGAGAATAGGACACAATGGAGCAATATTCCACCTCAACATTAGGAGGAACTTCTTGACAATAAGAGCTGTTTGACAATGGAAGATGCTGCCTTGGAAAGTGATGGAGTCTCCTTCTTTGGGGGTCTTTAATCTGAGTCTGGATGGCCATCTGTCTGGGGTGCTTTTATTGTGAGATCCTGCATGATGGAGAGGGGGGTTGGACTGGATGGCTGAAGGTCTCTTCCAATTTTATGATTCTATTATTCTAGGTGAGGTGACCCTTGATCAGTCTTATTGCCATGGTTGACAATTTTAGTTGGAGACACAGCACAGTACTATTGTACTAGGAAAGAAAGATCAGAACTTTGTTACAGTCCAGAGCTTCCTCTCTGAAATGCATGACTCCATGGAGAAAATTAAGGTGTGACATGATAATGCAA